CCAGGTGTTCCAGCCTCTACTTCCTGCTCAGAGGAGACTCCTAAGCCCACCGGCCCTGCACCAGGTGTTCCTCAGCAGAGCCAGCCGGCCACCTACCCTGCCGTCCCCCAGCAGAGCCAGCCCGCCCAGACTCCCTCTGTTCCAGATGTCAACAAGCCCAAGCCTACTCCTTCCAGCAGCAGTGTGCAGCCCCAGCCTACCAAGCCATCCGGTAGCAACGGTCACTTTGTAACCAACGGCGACAAGTGGTCCATTACTTACACTCCCTACGCACAGTCTGGCCTGTGCAAGGAAGCTGCTGAGGTTGCTGCTGACATCGAGAAGATTGCTGGTCGCGGCTTCACCACCATCCGCATGTACAACACCGACTGCGGTGTCTTCGAGAATGTTGTTCCCGAGTGCGAGAAGCACGGACTCAAGATGATCTACGGTATCTTCCTCGAGGCTGGCGACAAGGGCTGCTTCTCCGAGTACGCCAACAATCAGCTCAACGACATCAAGACCAAGGCTCCCAAGGACAGCATGTCCATGGTCCTTGTCGGCAACGAGTGCATGTTCAACGGTAACTGCCAGCCCGAGCAACTCGCTTCCTACATCGACTACGTCCGCGACGAGCTCCGTGGCGCCGGCTTCCCCTCTACCATCCCCATCACCACCACCGAGCCCGTCGACGTCTGGGAGTCCAAGGGTGCCGCTCTCTGCTCCCACATCGACGTCTTTGTTTGCCAGGTCCAGCCCTACTTCACCAACTCCGTCAGCCCCGACATGGCCGGTGAGTTCGCCGCCCAGCAGCTCGAGCAGGCTTCCAAGGTCTGCCCCGAGGCTGCCGCCCGTGGTGCCTACATTGGTGAGATTGGCTGGCCTTCGCAGGGTCTGGCCAACGGCTTGGCCATCGCCAGCCCCGACGCTCAGCGCACCGCTATACAGAAGATTCAGCAAGCTGTCGGCCCCAAGGCTAGCGTCTTCTCCTTCCAGGACGACACCTGGAAGGCTGCCGGTGCCTATGGTGTTGAGCAGCACTTTGGCTGCATTGATGTCGTTGATTAAGCTTTCCAAGCAAAACAAGAGAAACCTTTTAAGATGAGGGGAAGATAATATATATATCCATATGTATTGTTATATGTAGCGCATATTCCACCACAACCATTCTTCAAATCTAGTGGCTTGTGCCACTTGGCTGCGCTTCTTTCACGCCATCATGTGTCTTTTTATATTTCTTCCCTTTGTTTTAGTAGTCCTTGTCTTCGCTTTTGTGTATGTGCAGTTTCATTGATAGATAAAGGAAACGTATACACACGCACATTGCGGACTTGGCAATGCGCGATAGACGCTGAGGAGGATGGTGTAACTGACTTAGTGTTTAATTTCTTATACCTTGTTAGTTGTATGTAGAGTGGAACAAAAATCTCACCCTGGTTCTACTTCAATCACATGCAAACAAGTTTTTTTGTGTTTATTTGTTTTTTATTCGATCGTGGTCGAGGGGACGGGCGGACCATAATAGGGTGCTTTTTTCGGTCGACTCGGAAATTTCATCTCCCTTCGCAGCAGGGATATACGGCCTGTAAGAAATAGTGGCGTTTTTTTTTTTTCAAGGAAATTAAACCAGGGCTCCATGGGTCCTTTCATCATGGGAAACCAAGCTGTCTAGGCTTGCATGTGTTTGTTGTAAATGCGAGCATGTTAGTATCAAACTCTCATTGCATCACTTAAACATGGCATCCATGCAAAGGGAATGTCGGCGCAACATGACGTTGGTCGAAGCTATCCATCGGCAATATTCGTTTTGTTTCCTCCAGCTCGTAGCGTTGTCAGCCGGCTTTACTGTCATTCCGGGGATAGTATGTAAGCATCCGAATGTGTTCGTCTTTTCCTCAACCATGTCATCTTTTTTGGTTAGTAAGTACTATCCCGAATAATGCCTCAAAAGGATTACTGTGGCGTACCCCGATAGTTGGGCCTTAATGTTTAATGAGGCTGCTACTTGCTATTGCCAGTATGGGGTCCTACACGTCAGCGTGAGTGGATAAGCGTACGCATGTACATGCGGTTTTTAACGCGAGTAGAGGTAATCTAGACCCAGCATCGCATGTGAGTTGACATAGGGTCGGGAGGGGTGTGATTGTACTTGGAATCATGTATGTTGTGTGGCTGAACTGGGATTCAAGGACCGCTGCGTAGGATTAATGAGGGTGGACGGAGGTGGCAGAAAGTGAAATTGCAGGTGTGGCTTGGGTTGAATGTAAGTAAGAAGGTGCGGGACGGGCCGAGGAAAGGTGCAAGCATACGTGTGTTTACAGAACATTTGTTGTGAGGCGAGGAAATCGGCAACAAGAAGGCATGCACATGTCAGGGCATTGCGGTTATATGTAGATTCTTGCAATCTGAACAAAACCCAATAGATAAGTTCTATTGATGCTTCTCCCTGGCGTAATGAAACACCTTGATCAATCCCGCATACTGTTCTTTGCAACGCCAGCAAACCCACACAAAATCTATTCCAAGCAACACCAAGAAAGAACAGAAGAAAAAAATAGATCCTCCATACACCACATAGTCAGGCAAAAAGTCATGATAACTCCCCGTAAAAAAAAGTCGACTACATCCATACTACATAGCCCCCATCCACCCAAGCGCCCCTGCAACCCGCCCAACCGGGAGATCGACAGGGCATGCGAGTCGCTTAGAAAACAGCGCCATCATAGCCTTGCTTTTTTCCCCACGCAAACGTCTGCTCAGAACATTCATGTCCAACAATCCGTCCATGCCATCTCCCTTCTTAAAACGACAAGTATATGCCCTCGCTTATAACGTGTAGGTATACACATACAGATAAAGATACGCAAAAGATGGTACCACGGGCGCGACCACGGCATCGACCTTGGACAGTAGCAACACTGGCTGGTGTGGCGTCGCTACTTCTCCCCGCTGCGACGCTCATACGGCTGTACGCTCTGTCGCGATTCCCCTTGTATGCAGTTTTGTATACGTGTGCTATTAGTGGGGTTACATTTGTCTTTTACGGGTACGATAAGATGCAGGCGCGCAATATGGAGTGGAGGGTCAAGGAGACGACATTGCAGACACTGGCGCTTGTTGGAGGGTGGCCAGGCGCACTGGCAGGCATGCATTATTTTCAGCACAAGACGAAGAAGGTTGCATTCCAGGTTGTCTTCTGGGGGATTGTGCTGTGCTGGGAGGGCGTTGCTTGGTTAGTGTGGAGTGGTGGGGTATCAGCAAGAAGATAGAGGTGAGAGATCAAGACATTGATTGAACAGTTGAGGTACATGAGATCTTGAGTGTTATTACAAAGGGGCCATCGAGGTCGTGAGAGGTGGTTGTAGCCACCGGAAGAAGAAAAGAGATGCGTCAGAATCATATCCAAACAACGAGAACGCTCATCAAAGACAACCAGTCGCTCATCCACCCAAACATCATCACATCATCACTCCGCCTTTTTTGGAACATAGTACTGGGCAGTATCCTGAGTCTTGCTCGTCACTGCCGAGACACGGTCAAGCGCAGCTTTGGGATAGCTCTGGACCGTGTCCCAGTCAAGCCACACGTTCTTGGTAGAGTTCGACGCCGAATCCCTGGCTTGGGTGACTGCGTGAACTGTACAAAGAAGGGGCATTAGCGACCAGTAAAGGGACGGGTCAGAGTGTCCGCAGCTTCACCAGTTTGCTCGCCAATGGGGTTCTGGGTAGCGCCACCGGCCAGGTTGCCGAGGCCCTTCTTGAGGGTCTTGATGTTCTCTTGGTCGGAGGCAGGAACATTGTCAATGGCATCTGCAAGGTGTCAGTGTATCCCAAACAGTAATGCGAGAGAAGTGCGAGCATGACACGACTTACCCTTGGTCATGTAAGACAGCTTATTCTCGCCCATGGTCTTGAGTGCCTCGCGCTCCATCTTGCGCTTTAGCTCAGGTGAGATGCCGAAAACGTACAGGTAGGCTGCGGTCAAGGCGATGAGGCCTGCGAAGATGGCGAGGAAGCTGACAGCCATGGTTGAAAGTTGAGATTGTGTCTGTGATGTGAGGGCTAGAGACAAATTACTGGTGCTAGAGCGAGGTTGGAGAATGGCGAAGAAATGTGATGGTTGTGTGTGTTGATCCAGAAGACGCTGATTTTATGTATGGGCAAAACGGCATGACGTAGGAATCGCAGCACATGCAAACCTGTCAGGCTTGCTCCCGCTGCACGACCAGGATCGGCCCTTACAGCCGACCGTTTGATGGCTCCTCCCTAGACCGACGTCTCGTTCCCTCCCTATGATGTATTGTCTATCCTCTCTTACTGTTGCTGACGACAAAGATTCATGGAGGCGCGCCCGACGCGCCTCGAGTGGATTCGGTAAGGCCCATGCTTTGGGTGCTAGAGATGACAGGAGCCACAGTGGAGTGAGGGCGGCTGACAGCAGAGATGCGCCAAACGGGCTGCTGCTCTGATTGATTGTGCGCAACAGAGCCATCAGCAGTGCCAATGCAGCCTTGCACATATGGCCTTCAGGAAGCAGCGGCAGCGGGATATACTTAGACACGGAGAGTATTGGTACCAACGTAGTATGGACATGGTTTAGGCTACGCAGCTAGGCGGTGCTGCGCCTCAAAAAGTCAGCCACAGGCCACGAGGCGGACACGACTTTCAGGTGCGCCTGCGCCTGCCCCCACCGCCGGCCCAGGTGCAACTCCAGCTCGTCCAGAAACAGACCCTGGACTCTATTGTCGCTGACCCGGCTCAGCCTGTGCCTCCTTTTCCACCACTTCTTTTTTCCCTTTGCCGCCCGCTCTTCTCCTCGTTCAGAACGCCTTGCTTCCTACGTATCTGTTGATACCTACCCCTCACCAACCTCCCCGCCAGCTGAGCGCGCCCGATAGGCACCCCCAAGCCTCACCTTCCGCCCCCCAAAACACGCCCGCCGCAGTCGTATAACTGCACACCGGCTTGCCCATCATGAGTATGTGCCCGTTCTCTGCCTTGCGTTGCATGCTGCTCGTCTGACTGACTGCGTGCACAGTGACCAACATGCTCAACAAGCTGCACGGCCAGCCCGACAGCTATGATCGCAAGTGGGTGCTTCTTGATACCCCGCGCCCGCTTGTATCCTTACTGAACGTACCAATTGCAGATCACGATACCGCTTCGGAAAGACACTGGGCGCCGGAACGTACGGTATTGTCAGGGAGGCCGACTGTCCCGAGGGCAAGGTCGCCGTCAAGATTATCCTCAAGAAGAATGTCCGCGGAAACGAGCAGATGGTCTACGACGAGCTGGAGATGCTGCAGCGCATGAAACACCCGCACATTGTCAAGTTCCACGACTGGTTCGAGTCAAGGGTAGGCATGCTAACGAGGACGTGGGGCAGGCCAGCAAGCTAACATTGTGCCCAGGACAAATACTACATTGTAACCCAATTGGCAACTGGTGGAGAGCTCTTCGACCGCATCTGTGAAAAGGGAAAGTTCACAGAAAAGGACGCAGCCGAGACGATTCGACAGGTGCTCGACGCAGTCAACTATCTTCATGAGAACAATGTGGTACACAGAGGTTTGTAGTACGTCTACTAGCTCACCACAGCGTTACTAATAGCAGACAGATCTTAAGCCAGAGAACCTTCTCTATCTCACACGCGACGAGAACTCTTCACTTGTACTTGCTGATTTCGGTATCGCCAAGATGCTCGACTCCAAGACCGAAGTCCTAACCACCATGGCTGGCTCATTCGGATACGCTGCTCCTGAGGTGATGCTCAAGAAGGGCCACGGAAAGCCCGTCGACATGTGGTCTATGGGAGTCATCACATACACACTGCTCTGCGGATATTCACCATTCCGATCAGAGAACCTTGCGGATTTGATTGAGGAATGCAAGAATGGCCGCGTCATTTTCCACGAGCGCTACTGGAAGGAAGTCAGCCCAGAGGCCAAGGAGTTTATCAAGAATCTACTGGAGCCCGACCCAGCCAAGCGACCGACAAGCGAAGTGAGCAAAATTGTCTCGTGTATCGGCTGATAGCTAACAATTTCTAGGCTGCCCTCAAGCACGTATGGCTCAGTGGAAAAACCGCCACGGATCACAACTTGGTGCCAGAGATCAAGGCATACGCGGCAAAGGCTCGCCTCAGGCGCGGTATCGAATTGGTCAAGCTTGCAAACCGCATTGAAGCGCTCAAGATGCAGGAAGACGAGGAGGAAGACGTGCCTGGCGAGGCTGACGTGCCTGCCAATGCGCGCGAGGCTGCAGGCGAAGCCCTTTCTGGACATTCAGACAAGAGCTCGGAGAGCAAGGAGACGTCGGGCACAGGCAAGGGGCCTGGGCGTCTGAGCAGAATTGCAAAGGGAGCCATCTTCCGAGAAGTTGTGCTTGCCAAGGTGCGCGAGATGAAGGAGCAGGAGGCGCGAGCAGAGTTTGAGAAGAACGCAACATCAGAAAAGGCAGCAAGCAAGTAAAGGGGCGTGTCGGGCAGTCTTTTTCCTTGTTGCTGAGGTGTTGTCACAAACACGATGGATGGGTTTGCTGCGGTATTAGCGGAGGGTCTCATTGTTCCATGTATACCCCTGAGAGACAGCAGCCAGGACACCGCGCCTAGTAGCTCTTGAATGGTGATATCAGTGTTTGTAGTTTCAAATTGGGGGGGACAGTGTATGTGTAGTGATTGCTTTTATTGGTGTTGCTATTGTTGGTTGACGTGTGTCCAACAACGACGGTGTTGTGTCTGTGATGCACTCGCTGCCTGGCTCGTGCACGCAGTCTTGGCAGAGCCGGGAGAACCCTAGATTGAGCACTGCGGCGCGTCCACCGGTTTGACGACTGAACGCGCAACTCACTGCACCGCCGCCACACTCGTTACTCGCCTCGAGACCTTGTGGGCCTCGTTCGGATAGACTACGCGATCACAAAAGTACCGGCAATGGAAAGCGCGGCCAAACGGAAAGCCGCCAACGCCGCTGCGAGCGACCACCACAATCGCCCTGCGAAGCGACAAAAAGGGCCGGTACGTGCAGTTCATGGGCGACGGTTGATGCATCGTCGGGGTGTGTTCTGGAGATGCACAAGGCGTGTTGGTCGTGATGCGGGATGGGCTTTGGACAAGAGCGCGCGACACCTGGGGGGCTCGACGAGTAGCCACCACCACCTCCGTCGGCCCCTCCTCGCTGCCCCCAACACCACGCGCGCGCCGGCGATGCATCGAGGACTCCCTGGGGAACATGGTGGAATGGCCTACGAACCTTTACTGACAGCGACCCCCTCGCGTGCAGGCCGACACCAATGCCAACTCGGAGACGGTAGCCTCGACGACGACCGCGGGCTTGAAGTTCCTCGACAGCCTGAAGCAGGCAAAAGACAAGACGTGCGTGCTCGGCCTCTGTCGCTAGTCTCACATGGCATAGCTTCCACGCCTTCGGGCGAGCAATTCCCGCGATTTCCTACTGACAGCCTGCAGGGGACGACCCATAGCAGTTCACTTCCTTACCCTCCCGGATAGGGTATGTTCTGGCCCCGTTGCCATCAGGGCCCACACTGACAGCCGTGTCTAGGACGAAGTGCCCGACTACTACGAGTATACCAAGCTGCCCATTGCCATAGACACCATCGAGGTATGCTTACTTGCTGTTTGCTCTTTTGCAAACGTCGCCCATATGCCATGCGCCTTCACCAGCACCACCACCCCCTTACTATTGGCTGATATTCATACATCTCGTGCGTGATGGCTGACTTAAGGCGCCTCAGAAAAAACTACTTAATGGAGAATATTCCAGCCTGGCTCAAGTCGAGAGCGACTGTAAACGACTCGTCAACAACGCAAAGGCCTACAACGACAAGAAATCAGTCATCTACGAAGATGCCGAGCGCTTGCGCAAGACAGCCTCCAATTGGATGGTGAAGCACAACCCAGCATACTGGGACGGCAACTACGTCGCAGTAGCTACTCCCATTCCTGGCGAAGACAACTCTACTCCCTCAAAACCGTCACCTCGCGTCGTATCAACGCCCAGAGTCCCGCAGACACCTATTACACATGACACTGTCGAACGCCCTCGACGAGCAGCTGCCATTGCAGCATCATCCACGCCAGCCCCATCGAAACTACGACAGTCGGCGTCCGCAGCGCCCGATGACAACGATGGCGCCGAGTATACAGGCAAGACCTTTCAGCAGGCACAGGAACAGATTGTGCGGGAGATTATTGAATACGAGGAGTATGTGGTGTACTTCAGCTGCATTGCATTACATTGATGCTAATACCCTTCTAGTCAAGGCCTGCAGATATTCGTTCCCTTCCAAAACCTCCCATCACGGAGCTTGAAGGATTATTATCAGCTAATCAAGGATCCCATGTCACTGTCTGCAATACAGAAGAAAGTGCGCGGCGTCATTGGCCGCGAAGCTCCTACAGGCCATACCCTGTTCAAGAGCTGGGATGCTTTTGAAAGCGCATTCAGCTTGATCTGGAAGAATGCTCGTATCTATAACGAAGACGGGAGTGATATTTACAACTTGTCGTTGGAGCTTGAGGTACGCTGAATCCATCCTGGCCAAGGTCGTTTCTAACTTGCCCAGGAAATCTTCTACAAGAAACTTGAAGAGGCTAAGTCAAAGGTCAACGAGCCAACACAGCCGAAGCTCAAACTTAACATGTCGACGGCATCAGCGGCTCCTAAGCAGCAATTGAAGCTAAAACTCAAACCAAGTCCTGGCTCGGAGCCCAATACTCCAAGTGCTCGCGATTCTGCAACCCCGGGTGTTATTGTTGACAACGACGCCCTCTTACGGCAGCAACGGCATGTACTCAACAGTATGGGGAACCAGTCGTCACGAGCTGCGTCTGGCGAAGCAGCAACGCCTGGAGCATCAGCAAATCCGTCTTCTGGCCCCAAGGGCGGCACTTCGACAAGCGCTCCATTGTCTGCTGTCCAAGGTAAAGCTGGGGGGTCTCCACCAGCCGCCAACGGTGTCAAGCAAGACGTACAATCTCCGGCGCTGAGCGCAATAAGACCTGCAAGTACCGCACCTGATAGTTCACGACTCAGCGTTCCGGTACAAACACCGCATCCCCACATGGCCCCACCACATATGTCTCGCACAGCCAGCGGCAGTCCGCATCCAAACGGTCTTGGTCTGCAGAATGGCCATTACGCCCCTCCGCCGCAACAACAGAGCTACCACGCGCCTCCTGTACCACGGATTGATTGCTTCAGGAAGACTCCACTCAAAAGTAAGTGCATTCTGTCGGAATGGCTGATCCTTCTTACTAATGATTGTGTAGATTACCAAGATGCATTAATACCCAGAATCAGACTAAATACACATCCCGCTCTGAGCGCATCAAAGCCATGGTCCGTTAACATACTGGCCAACAAGCAGAAGACCATGTACAGTGCCACCATGGTCGTCGCGCCCGCCCACTCCTACATTCAGATTGTCCCCAAAATCCCCATTGCACTTACCAACCGCATGTACCGCCTCTTCGTCACCGTCAACGGTAACAAGACTCTTGAAGCAAACCGTATCCCAGTCACAGCCGGCATCAATGGTGCCAGCCCAGGACCTGGTTACGAAGGCGGAAAGAAAAAAGGTGAACCCTTATTCGAAGCCAAACTCCTCAGCGGCGTAAACCGCATCGAAGTCGAGATTATCGCGGAAAAGGAACGGAAAGAATCATCTGAGAATGCGGGAGCTGCTGCTACGCCTGCAGCGGCTGCGAAGAAGGAAGACGTCGAGATTGAAAAGTGTACCATTTTCTTGCATTTGCCGCGACAGCCGACGAATTAGGAGTTTGAGGACTGTGATGGTGGGGATGCAGAGGCGGAGGTTGCGTGGCTTGTTAGCCCACCGATGATATGAGAAAGATGCAAAATACAGACAGAGAGAGAGAGAGAGATAGATGTGGTATACGCGTGTTTGTGTATGTGTGATATTACTTTTATTTTATTGTCTTCTTTTTTGCTCCAAACTCTGTAGAGAGGAAGGGGGGGGGGGGGGGGGGGGGGGTGAAGTGATGGTGAAGGGAAGATAAACATGGAATATTGGCGTTTTCTTCTTCTTCTCGACTTGTCTCTTTCTTCTTGTTTTTAGCGGTCATATTCCTTGTGGAAGCAGAGGATGTAGTTTATTGGATGGGCATTGAGTAGCCTGAGAGGAGAGAGATCATGTCATGGACTTCTTCTTCTTTTTGCTCTTCTTTTCTTTCTTTGTTCACGTGGGTCTTTCTCTCTCTCTCTCTCTCTTATTTTTTTTTCATGTATCTTGGAAGTTTTCAAACGCCGAATGTACAAAATAGCAGGTGACAAAAAAATAGGGGGCTACCGTTTTTACCATGCGCGCGCGTGTATGTATGTAAAATTTCCTCTTACTTGGTCCATGTTCTAATCTGATCTTTTTTTTTTCTGTAAAGCTAAGGAAGCGTGTGTGATATTTAAACTTCTAGACCCCCTACCCTGGCTTTTATTTAGTAGACCGGTACTATACTGTTAGTTCACCACCCCCTGGTATGCTAGTGTATTTCCCCGAACCTTTTTTTCTTTCCTTCAAAAGCCAGTTACAGTAGCGTCGATGTTAGTGTCGATTGTTAGTGCCAAGTGTTAATGCAAGGCTGACTTATGTAGCGTCGAAGTTTATAAATTTGAAGGGGGGTGGGCGAGGCGGTATTTTTTTTTTTTACTTTGAAAGAAAGTGTAAATATGGAGTTTACGGGAGTGGTTAGGAGGAGGAGAAGTGGAAGGGCTGGATTGTTTTGATAGATTTTCTTTTCGGGGTGGGGGATGTTGAAGTGGGATCGGATTGCAGGATCGGAGGGGTTAAGAGTGGGACAGTATCATCATTTGTCTCGATTTTTTCGTGGGATGGAATGCATGCGGTTTGACGATGCTGAATCGTCGGTCCGGATGTTGAGTTGGGAGATTATATAGTAGTTTTTGGGTACATGACGCGACTGTTGATTGATAAGGGATTGGGTGGATGGCACGTAAATAAAATGTTCGCCATGGTATCTACTTGTTTTTGCTGATACATGCTGCTATGCAAGGGAGTATATTTGTCTTTTGGGTTGTGTAAAACAAATTTTGCAGTAACATGTATTCGAGTGGGTATTTTTGTTTCCCAACTATTCCTGTTTCCCATATTTAGTGGCGTCTTGGGTTAACATGTTGGGCATCTGATGTACATGCATGTATATGTTGTTCTGCTAATAGGGACATAATTGGGACTATGTGTATGTATGTGTATGTGTATAGGTCGTACATGGCATTGCGGGGTTACATGGACCGTAAGATTGGGAATTTGAATGCATGCGTTTATTCATTGAGTGAGCACCTACAATGGCGAGTGTGGTAGGGAATGCAAGAAAAGGTGAGATGCGGTGTTCAACATGGAAATCTAAATATCCTAGATTATCGGTGTTTGATTGGTGATTGTTAGTAGAAATATAGAGAGAAAGAACTGGCTGTTGAAGCGGTGGGGTGAAGTGAAAGTCTCATGGAATGATGTTGTTAGATTTGTTACATGTCTTTTTTGATCATCAGTAAATGAGTGAAGATAGATTTTGGAAACGAGAAAGCTTGGTTGCAAATAACGAGTTATTCTAATCAGCATTTAATTATTCTATAATGCCAGCTTCAAGTATTTATATGCTCGATATGCTGTGTTCTTTTTTCTTCTTGGCAAAAAT